GATGCTTGTCTTTAACAATGTGGGTAATCCACTGTCATCGTTGACTGTAGTGAACATTTTAACTGTTGATATAGAACTAAGCAGCATGCTCATATCCGCATTCCGTACATTCGAGCAGATTCACGTAGTCCTGAAAAATACTAACTAATCAACACGGAAAATAATAGATGGTGCATTCTGTTCAGTATGCAACTCCTAAAAAATCAAAAATGGCCATGACGACATCTTGACGTACGTAAAGGCTGGGTTTAAATTTACGAGTTTTACGTACGGGAAAGGAACATACTCCTAAAATTTCGTGTTTCCTAGGTTTTCTGGCTCTTGAGATGAAAACCTGGGACAAAACACAAACATATAGGCAATTTCGTGACAAAATGCGTTTTGTGCAGCTGTTACAGTACAAAACACATAATTAATCCAAATTAAAACCTAGGGTCGCAAGCCAGAAAAGGACACGAGTCAATTAGTTGCAGTACAATAAATGTATTCATTCAAACAGAACCCATGTATAGGTTACGTGCTTGGTTAAAAAAGAATCGGTACAAAATTAATGAGCTAATTTACAATATTTCTGAAGATGAGGCTACGAGATGAGACACTCCGGCCTCTTCAAAAACATTTCCGATCTGAACAGAACTAAAAAGTGATGACGAGTACTCACTGGAAAAACTTTAAATACCCTGCAATTAGCTTGCAAAAAAATGCAGTAAATACAGTGCAGTTATAAGCCATGATTGCCAACGGAGCTTACTTAGAATGGCGTTGTATATCTTTTTGCGAGCACCCATCGTGGAAACTCCGATGTCCTTTAAATTCTGCTCATCCAGCAGCAAAAATGCTTCCATATCGATCTGCAGTGTGTCGAAGTATAAACACATGTATGCCAATTAAAAAAAAAAGTTGTTCCATACGCCGGGTAGCTTCAATACTAATCAGAAGGAACAGTTTTAGTAATTTAATGAGCGGCATACTTCTTGGTCCCTGAACTGGGCGAGGTATTCGCTGCAACCAAGTTGAGCAAGAACCATTGCTGGGTCTGCAAAAATGCGCACGTCCCACATAAAGTCGCTCGCTATTAAAGGAGCTGATTCAAACACTCCTGTAGATGCAGAAAAGTCTAAAACAGATCAGGTTAGTCAGCAATTTACAAGGGCTTGCATAAATAGCATCAGTTCTACAGCTGTGTCAGTTATAACGGTGTTAAAATTGGGCATGAAGAATATTTACTATTTCACCTCACATTTTAGAGCCACTGGTAAATTATATGAGGGTGCTACAGTCGGCTTGTTTGAACAAACTAATAACTTCTGAAGCCCGCTAGTAGTGACAAAATCTCCCAGATTTATTCGTTTTGAGAAGCCGAGACACCCAGAAGAAGTAACATCAGCAACACCCAGCAGCTAGAACATGGCTATAAATTTTTAAGGGCCGTTTATAAGCAAACAGAAAGCAGTTGCTGCTCCTGGCTCATGCTAGCACCAATTTACTGTCGAAACGAATGGTATTTCTTTTTCACTGATGGAGTCAAATCTTCAAACTTCAGCATAAGAGTAGCACTACATGCCACAGCACTAATTCTGTTATTGAGGATTGCATATTTGCCAAAAATACCACGATCGCCTGGGCAATCAGTGTGGGTTTTCCCACGTTCCTCCACAAGCCAAAAGCAGCTGTGCTAGACGGCTCGATTCTGTCTGCATACCTTCAGCTGGTATTCATCTTTGTTCGTTTCTTGCGTGTCACCTCTTTGGGAGCTCCTGAGTGTCGTTTACTTTCTTGCGCGCATCTTTCACTAATTACGCTTGGGCCACTGGCTGTTGACAAGACAAGCAACACGCCCTGCCCATCACATTTTACTTTCTTATGTGATCACAGTATGTTAAAGAATGTGCCTATGCAAACAGACCGAAATACATGTACAATTACACAGAGACAGACAGGGTTCCACATGACAAATGCGCTTTTATGCTCCCTCAGTGATGCAAAAATGTATAAAGAAAAGCGGATCTCTGTGTTACCCAGTAGCCAAGCCATGCGTCGTTCAAAACAATATCTGCTGCAGTTTACATCTTTTTAGAATACTGAATTTAGGAAAGACAAATCAGCAAATTAAGAACTCTGTTAAATAACCTCTTCGTGTTCGCAAAGTAACTGGTGCATTGAACTGATTTGACTGGAAGAGCTGTAAGTTGTGAGAAGATAGAGATCCAAAAAAGGAATTCGAGTTGGAGCTGTCAAGCATGTTTTCACCGTGCTCATCCTCCTCCAGCACGGAAGCCAGGCCTAATGACGATGTTATTGAACGGTGAGCCTAAATGCAATAATATTAAATCGTGCGTGGATCGTAAACCAGCAAATTCTAATTGAAGTGAATAATGATTACTGGTGATACACACTAAATTTGCTTCACCATCGCCTAAATTTGCTTCACCATCGCATTTGGTTACGCTTTAATAATGCATCAGAAAATTATACGGTAACTGGCTAAGAAAGCGTGAATTGAATACCGCCGTATCAACGGGTTTTGAATCTTCTGGTGCATTATTTATTCGTCCATCACAGCAACTGTTGTCGAAGAGGCTCATGCTGCCTTTTAAAATATCCGCTGGAAGTGAACTGCTGAAACCGTATCCAGCCCAAAGATCTGTTGGCTGTCGTATTTTCGTTGGAGTCTCGTTATACACCGCTAAAAATTGTTACTTTAGTAATGTACAGCCCATCCCTAAACAGTTAAATAGAATGAAAAAAAAAAGACTGAAGACCATTAATACAGAAAATAAAATTGCAGGGTGAATACTTAAAAGCAACTGACCGCGATTCGCCTTCAACAGCAATTGTTCTCTTGTTGGCATCCGTCCAGAACTGCTGCAAAGTGGTACTCGAATAGTTAAGAAGAATACAATTGTTGGGTGGAAAGACAAAGCAACTTTTTTGCAGGATGATTTAAAAATTTTGCTATAATTTGCACAAAGTAGATAAAAAATTAAAAACTGTTCTCCCG